TGCTTCCTGTGCATTCAAAATTACTAGAAAAATTAGTTAAAAATAGACTCACTGGATTTTTAGATAACAATAATTTTTTTTCACCAAATCAGTTTGGATTTAGAGAAGGCCTTAGTACAGAGTTAGCACTTCAACACTTTTTGACAAATATTTACGGAAACTTAAATAGCACAACTCATAATAAAACAGCTGGTTTGTTCTTAGATATTAGTAAGGCATTTGATACTATCGATCATGTTTTGCTCTTGAACAAACTAGAATCAGCAGGGATAAGAGGTGTACCACTTTCATGGTTTGGGTCATATCTTTCTGGGAGGAGGCAGCTGGTTAAAATTAAGAAGAGCAAAAGTAGTATCCAAAGTATTAACTTCGGTGTTCCCCAAGGATCAGTCCTTGGTCCTATTTTATTTTTTATTTTTGTCAACGACTTGTGCAATGGTCTTTTGAATGGACGCCTAACAGCGTTTGCTGATGATACAGCATTGTCATACTGTGCAAGCACTTTAGATGAGCTTCATCACATAATGCAGGATGATCTACATAAAATATCACTTTGGTTCAGTTGCAACAAACTTTGTCTAAATGTTCCTAAAACAATCTTTATCAATTTTTCTTTATCCCAGTCAAATGTTTGTAATGCACCTTTAATTTTCCATAAAACAGATTGTAATAAAACTAGTTGCTTATGTGATTCAATAAAACAATGTAATGTTACCAAATATCTAGGTGTACTTTTGGATGAAAATCTATCATGGAAGATGCATGTAAATAATTTAAAGAATTCATTACGTTAGTCACTTAGATCTTTTTTCCACCTCAAATATTGCTGTCCTCTTCCCATCTTAAAACAGGTTTACCACTCTTTAATCAATTCTAAGCTTGAATATGGAATTTCTTTGTATGGAGGTGCCTATGTGTCGAATTTAAAATCTTTAATAACTTTACAGAAGAAATTTGTCAGATTAATATGTAATGTAAATTTTTATTCTCATTCTCTACCTTTATTTGTAAGTCATAATATCCTTCCCTTCAGATATTTATATATTTTTAAAGTATTGACTATATTTTTCAAATTAAGTGGTAATGCAGGACCAACAGTTGATAACATTCACAATTATTCAACTAGACAAACTGCACATAACATTCTACGTTTACCCAAACCAAACTGTACCCTGTTTAAGAAGTGTTTTATTTATTTATCAATTAAAATTTGTAATGTCATTCCTGTTTCTGTAAAGCAGAGTAGGTCATTTAGTGTTTTTAAGAAATCTTTGAAAAAGTGGCTATTAACCAAGTCATATGATGAAATAGAACAGTTGTATTCTTAATAATATTAGTAAGTAATGTCTAGCTCAATGTATTTGCTTTATCTTTGTAAGTATCTGTATTTCAGAGTCTGGGTTTTCATTGTTTCCTTCAATTTCTTAAAATGTTCTCATTATTATAGTTACATACTTTTCGTTTTACTTCCTAGATATTGGTGAATTTTGTTTTCTTTGTTGTCTTTTCTACAAAAGTTATTGGACTAAAGGTAAATTTAATTTATAATTCATTTTGTTACCCTTTTCAGAGAATTTTTTGTTATTGTTAAGTATTAGTTGAGACTCCCGCCCACACACAGAAGTTTTAATCTTCTTTGGGTGTGTATATTTCTTCGCAAGTTGAAGCAAACTGTTTTTATTTAATTAATTAACAATAAGTTTTTATTACATTGTAAAATAATTTGTTTTTTATAGATCTTTGTAATTTTATTGTATTACTTGTGGAGAAATAAAGATTTATTATTATTATTATTATTTATTATTAAGCTCATATAGTTACGCAACAATGATGATTTAGTCAACTTTCTGGTTTGGATATTGTGGTTGATAGTCATTAAGTACACGAAACAATAGTAACACGGATAAAATAGATATTTTATTAAATAAATATATTATTAATATCAAAATCTTATAAATTAGAGTGCAAATCCTGTGTTTTTGTAATGTGTAATTCATTTATTGCCATTTACACTTGATTTGTAGTTGTTTGATTAAAGTAAAACAAACACAAAACAATATTTTGTTTTTAAGTTAGCCTACATGAAAGTCGATTTAGGATGATGCTAACAAATGTTGTGCCATTTTTTGGGACAGTAAAAGTATTTTTGAACAGATTTATGAACAGCATTTTGTTGTCAAATGTTTTATATTCAAAGTATTATTGTTAAAACATGTAATTTACCATGCAAAATGATGTATTATTGTTATGTGTAATTGGTTTATTGCCATTTATACATAGGCCTAATTTGTAGTTGTTTGAGCAAAGTTAAACTTACCCAACAAAATACATTTGTTTTGATATCCTTATTATCAGTTTGTAAACAGGCTTCAATGTATTGTTCAATATAGGACCGATTTAGTTATCATTTAGTTATTAATTACACAAAATAATAATGAAATTAACGTGAATAGCAATTGTGTATATATATACAAATGTTACCGTGCTTATATTATAAATGTATAAATTAGAATAAATATTGAATGCATCAATCACTGTGTGCGTAGTAGGGTAGTAGAGAGAGACGTGTAGTCTCAAGGCAGCGCCCGAGCGTCGGCGGGTCCCAAATTTTGCTTCCTCTTCTACCTGATTTATTTCTAAAACTACTCATCATTAATTTTTCAAAAAAATATATGTTATGATTCAACTCAAGCTCTCAAACTTTGCCGCTGACGAAACTTTCCTGACAAAAAATAAAAAAAATTCTAGATCACTTACTTTTTCATGTTCTAATTCATAATTAAATAATTTCTTTGGGTTTTAACGGCTGTTAAAATTACAATAAAATTATTTTTTATATTCCAACCTTACTGTCAGTGAGAAGCACTAATTTATAGTAGATGTGCCAAATTTGGTAATTTTAGGTCTACTCTAAGTGTGTCTAATCATTGTACATTTGGAAAAGGTGATCTAACGCTATATGCAGCAGTTGCCGCTACTTGCCCGTATAAGTGGTGGGGGATTGGCTACACTGCCCGTAATGTTTGCTGGATATACGTAGCCCCTCTATTTCTATTCTGTGCTCTCTGGCTTATTCTGCACATAACGGGATTAGTGAATGTGAGCGTAACAATGGGCGAGTCCAACCGCACTTACTGGTGTCACCAGTGAACACAATGTTATTTGTATGGGTAAATCCACCAAATCTCAGTTAACAACAATCATAATTTCTCGTCCATTAATTAACCAAAGTCATTGGTAAAATTTGTGGTGGATTTCCAACAATTATCGATAGGTGGTAAATCCATCGTTCTAGTACAAAACGTCTTTTGTAAATTCAACTCATTAAAATTATTCACTATAGTTTAACCAAACGTTTGTTTTTATAAATGTTTCCTTATTTGTTATTCTATCATAGACTGAAGGAAGCCAAACTGAACTAATCTAACTTAACCTAATTGTCACAGCATAGTGTAAAAAGAGTCTTCTTAAAAAGATCGTATGGCTTAAAATTAGGGATGGGCTGATTCCGATTCTCGATACCTTCGAATCACCGATACTCGATACTTTACTTCGTTGTACTCGATACCGATTCTGAAAAGTGAGGTTAATTATGATGCTAAACTCAACTGACGTTGAAAGTTGTAAAGAGTGGCACATCATAGTTTATTTGGGATAATCTGAAGTCAGCTAATATAAATAATTCCATGTTCTAGATAATATAACTCGACAATTAAATTTTTTACTGGCCTTATCCCTAACAGCTTTTAATATTTTGGTAATATTGTATAAGTTAAAAAAAAACACTTCAAACAAATACAGTATTATAAGGTTAGTAACAATCCGCACAGAATACGACACTGTCAGCTATTGACTCATAATCATAAACAAAGGGCTAGTGCTACATTTACATTTGTTGTCATGAGAGCCGAAGCCCCCTGACTGCTTACCCGGTACCTATCCTTCAGGACATACCCGGGCCCCATGATGTAGGCCGAAGCTTACGCATCAACCTTTAGCACATCATGGGCGGATGACTTAAGGTCATCAGGCTCGCCGGCTGCCGAAGCAGACCCTTCGGAAAGAGGGTTGCCCCTCAATCCTAACCAGGGATTCCGGCTGCTTGTTTAAGCGTCACTCCACCTGGGTTCCACTAGGTCGGAACCTAGAGGTCCATAGTAGAGCGCCCCGACGCATTTAGTGCAAGCAACACTCGGGACCTATCTAATCCCTGACAGGCAGAACCCGCCATCAATAGCCAGGAGGAAGGGGACCATCAGCACGCTGACGGGGGAACCCCAACCTCCCATTTACACCGCTGCCCGATCGAGGCCTTACCCATTGCTGGGAAACCAGAGATAACCAGAGCGATAGATGATAGATACAAAGGGCTAGTGCTGGTGAGTAATTTTTCAAGCCTGAACACACTCAGCGTTGATTTTTATCCACACTAGCCTAAGCTTAATTGTTTATCTCGGCAAAAGCCGTGATCGCTTCGGTGTTCTTAACATGTAGAAATAGGGAATGTAAAATCCTAAATAGTAAACAATTTGCATTAACAAATTTTGATAAGTATTTTGGATTGTTTAGCCATTGGGAGCAATCCATAGCTAGGGGACTTTCTAACATGTCAGTCATGTTCAGTCATGACCTACCTTCTACCGGCGCCGTACATGTCCGATGTTTATTTTATTACGCGTTTTCGTATTTTCTTTTTGGCCAATCAGTGATAAATGTCTCGTGGTCGTGTATGTGTTATTTTTTTTGTGAACTTTAAACCTTATGACGACCATTCTATGGAATAAATCAATGCAAAGTTTTGACCTGAAGATGTGTTGATATAAAAACACAAAACACAAAACAGCTGTAGTCAACCAACTACAAAACAGGATCACTTGACGGATACAGGTAATTTAAACCTTTTATTGTAAAAATCAGTGATCCAGAGGCTATACCATAAAAATGAAATTCTAACATGTGTTTGCAGTCTACAAAGTATATTTTTTTTGTTATTGAGATACCTGATCAAAGCTCTGGTCATCTCATCTTCGATGTACTTGCGTGCTCGTGCTTGATCATCATTCTCCACCTCCTCACATCTCAGAGGGATGTGACTGATTCTGTGACATTTCCTACAACATCAGCATTTTATTACTTGATTTACAATTGATATTCTAAAATTGTTTGACTCTGTAAGCTTATTGGCCAGGTATGGGTTTTGAACGTTTTAAGAAAATCCCAAAAAATATTTAAAAATACAGTGATAGTCGGTTAGAAAACCAGCTTGTGATTAGCTAGCAGTGTTTTATAATTAGGCTGACATTTCACATATAATCACACCAAATATGAAGTATTTTTAAATACTGTAACAATTGTTGCTACCCATTTTTGTTTTTATAGAACAGTGACTAAAATTGACCTAAGCGAATTTCCCCAATTAGTGTGGTGGCTAATCGAAAAGATCGTGACCTGATGGATTAAAGCTGCAGACTTTGTACGTTTCTTCCATACCCTAAATACAAACAATTTATGGGGGGTGCCCGATTTTCAGACCCGCTATCTTGAAATACGATGCCATCTTTGTTTTCTTTAGAGGAATTGAACTATTCATTGAAAATGGCCTAATATCACCCAAGAGGACACATTTACGCCATTTTGTATATAACATGTTTTGTTCACAATTAAATTTGCTATAAAATGAGATAAAAACCACTTCGATAACTTAAAATAGTCTTGAAGATATAAACTGTTAAAGTTGAAAATTCGATATCGCCCAAATGGTCAAGGGTACGTATCTGTTATAACAATATATTTTATTTTTAATTAAATTTGCTAAAAATGAGATAAAAATATCTTAAGTAACTTAAATAGTTTTGAAGATAAAAACTGTTTATGTTATAAATTGTATTTATTCCTATATGCAATAGGTCCGTGTGTCTTAAAAGTTTGTTTTTCCTGCACGTATTGCATTAGAAGACCGCAACGTCACACATCAATTACTGGACCTAAAATAGTACTTACTACTAAAATATTTAAGGGGGGTCAACCGACAAGGAGTAAGTTAAAAAACTTAAATAAAAGCATAGGTGCATACATATCAAATTTAAGGTCTTTATCAGTAAAACATGATGCTCCAGTCATAAATGGCTGCCAGTCAAAGTTTGCATGAAAACTCTTTAAGCTTTGATGGATACAAAATATATAGGTTTGACCGCTCTCTGATATCCAGTTCCAAAAAGAGTGGTGGTGGCTGTAAACAGTCGATTGTCTTCTTGGAGTGTCGATAACCAAAATTGCTCTACTGAGTGTGTGTTCGTTGTGGTTAAGCTACCTCTTCAGACACTTACTGCAGAGGGAGTATATTTGACCCCGAATCGTCCTGATACCCGGTACCTAGAATTACCCCCGCCGCAGCAAACCTGCAGACTAAGCGAATTTCCATTAGCCTGATAGGATTTACACTAAAATGTCTCCTTAAAAATATCATATTTATTCCCTATTTAAATAGAGTTAGTTAAACGAGTACTTAGGTTTGCTGCAACGGGGAGGGTAAAAAGGTCGTTTTTTTATGTTAATAGGTTAGTAAGAAATTAATGTATTTTCCAAATTCGATCAAAATATGTTAATAAACAAGCAAACTACAACAGTTGACTTTTTCTCCATAAGAATAACATAGGGATTTTAAATTTACAGTTTTTTGGAATTTTCTCCGTAACCATTAGGCGCACAATAACGCTTCAATATACTTAATTATTTGTTTTTTTATGCTCTACAAAATGGTGTGAAAAGAAATTGTAAAATTTTGTGTTTTTAGGGTCAAAAATGGGAAAAACCTATTTTTACCCCATAAAACCCCCCATAAACCCCCGTTCCCATAGTCCGATCATGCTGGTTCGCGAACTCGTTCGAATAAATGTAGGTTTACACGTTTGTACTAAATTTCATCAAAATCGGATGATTTTTGCTCGAGTTATCGTGCTAACGGACACATATATATATATATATATGAATTTGAACGGATGGTGTTTTTGGCCTCTAGGGACCTCAAAACGAAAAAATAAATCGATACCGGGTCCAGGTCTTACCATGAGTACTACGGTAATAGCTTATTCCCTATATGGGAAATTCGTTTTTATAGAACAGTGACTAAAATTGACCTAAGCGAATTTCCCCAATTAGTGTGGTGGCTAAGCGAAAAGATCGTGACCTGATGGATTAAAGCTGCAGACTTCGTACGTTTCTTCCATACCCTAAATACAAACAATTTATGGGGGGTGCCCGATTTTCAGACCCGCTATCTTGAAATACGATGCCATCTTTGTTTTCTTTAGAGGAATTGAACTATTCATTGAAAATGGCCTAATATCACCCAAGAGGACACATTTACGCCATTTTGTATATAACATGTTTTGTTCACAATTAAATTTGCTATAAAATGAGATAAAAACCACTTCGATAACTTAAAATAGTCTTGAAGATATAAACTGTTAAAGTTGAAAATTCGATATCGCCCAAATGGTCAAGGGTACGTATCTGTTATAACAATATATTTTATTTTTAATTAAATTTGCTAAAAATGAGATAAAAATATCTTAAGTAACTTAAATAGTTTTGAAGATAAAAACTGTTTATGTTATAAATTGTATTTATTCCTATATGCAATAGGTCCGTGTGTCTTAAAAGTTTGTTTTTCCTGCACGTATTGCATTAGAAGACCGCAACGTCACACATCAATTACTGGACCTAAAATAGTACTTACTACTAAAATATTTAAGGGGGGTCAACCGACAAGGAGTAAGTTAAAAAACTTAAATAAAAGCATAGGTGCATACATATCAAATTTAAGGTCTTTATCAGTAAAACATGATGCTCCAGTCATAAATGGCTGCCAGTCAAAGTTTGCATGAAAACTCTTTAAGCTTTGATGGATACAAAATATATAGGTTTGACCGCTCTCTGATATCCAGTTCCAAAAAGAGTGGTGGTGGCTGTAAACAGTCGATTGTCTTCTTGGAGTGTCGATAACCAAAATTGCTCTACTGAGTGTGTGTTCGTTGTGGTTAAGCTACCTCTTCAGACACTTACTGCAGAGGGAGTATATTTGACCCCGAATCGTCCTGATACCCGGTACCTAGAATTCTGTTTGACTTTTGAGATCATGCTTGGCAATCCACTAAAAACCGTCTTAGTGGCTGGGGACTTCAATCTGCCATATGCAAACTGGCATGACATGGGAAGCTATTCCTGCTCTCGGGCAGTCAATATTATCTATGAGATCTGCCGTCTTTTTCAGGTACAACAGCAGCATAATCTGATTGTGAATGAGTATAGTGCCCTTTTGGACCTTGTATTCTCTTCCGTTGAGCATACTAAAATACACTGAGCACTGGACCCTCTACTACCAAGCGAATCACATCATCCACCTTTGGAGATAGAACTCTGACTTGAGAAGAACGCATGCTCCACATATTACTGTGTATTTCAACACCTTGATGAAGATTGGAATGTTTCCTCTGGTTCTTAAAAATGGATGGTACCAATTTTCAAAAAAGTTGACCCTTCTGATGTCAAGAAATATCGTCCAGTGGGTATACAACCTGCATTGGCTAAGATCTTTGAAGCAATTGTACTTCATATAGACTTTCTTTCTCTTTGGACAATATTATCGTACCCTATCAGAATGGCTTCAAGAAAGGGTGATCTGCCTCGACCAATTTGGTTCTGTACCAGGATGACATTATGCATGCCTTTTCTCGTAACCATTTTGATATGTTTTTTTACCATATTCCATCCGTGATTAATGTTAGAAATTTTGTCCCTCTATGTTTGTTGTTACACCTCTGATAACCATTAGCCTTTTTTAAGAAAGACCCACTGTCATTCATAATTTAAGTTTGTTAAGTTTGCCTATTTTCAAATTATTTTAAACCTGTTAAATGTTAAACCAAGGGCAGCCTACATTTTGGATTTTTCATGTCTAATTTTATTAATTATATAAGTATTGCATCTTATATCTTATAAGAATAATAATGACGATGTCAATTACAATAATGTATTGTTTAAAGACTGAATAAATGACTATTCAATGACTATTCATCACAAGTCGATTCTGTCTATTTGGACCTATTCAAGGCTTTGGATCATGTAAGTCACACTTATCTCGTGGCAAAGCTTGGTGGATTTGGGATCACTGGATCACTACTCGCATGGTTTGAGGACTATTTGCGGAATCACTTTTTAACCGTGAAATTTGCTAGAGCGTCTTGTGAGTTTGAAGCTTCTTTTGGTGTACCTCAAGGATCGCTACTGGGACTAATTTTATTTTCAATATGCATTTAATTTTCAAAGATTAATATGGCTGATGTTCTCAAAGATTCAAGACTATTGTTGTTTGCTGACTATGCCAAAGTATACAGAGAGGAGAAGTCATTGCAAGATTGTCAATGCCTATCAGTACATCAATGAAATTTCAATGTGGTATATGCAAAATATAATGTATGAATCCAAGTGCACAGTAGTTTCATTCCACAGGACCTTTAACAACCTCTCTTTTTAACTATTCAATAAATGGGAATGCACTTGTTGGATCCACCTTTGTTAACGACCTTGGAGTATCATTCACATCACCACAACCCTGATGATCAAGTTAAGAGGATAACAAGGAAAGCAAATTTGGCCCTTGGTTTCATTCTGAGGGTATCCAGAGATGGCTTCTCTGTGTGGGCATTAAGGACGTTATTCGTTCGGGTACTTGTTCGAATATTATTCTCCTGTATGGTCTACGTATACAGTTGGTCTTTCACAGGACATCCAAAGATTGCAGCACCGTTTTTTTTTTTAATCGCGGTACTCGCCTGGAATACCCATTCAGGGATGTAACCATTGAGGACCTTCAAAAGCAGCTTCGGCTAAACCACTTGAGTTCTCGAAGGCGTATTGCTGACCTGGTTTTACTGAGGAAGATTTTCAATGCAGAACTTGACTCTGCTGAGCAGAATAAACTTTCGCTGCTCCAGACCATCCCGATCCCAGGATCTATTTGAGAGGGGACATCATTCTACAGTGTATGCCTACAACAGCACACTACCAAGACTACATCGTTAGGAAACCGGATTCCTCTAAATCTGGTCTTTTTCTCCTCAAGTTTAATTACTTTTAAGAAAGACCTACTTGCTTGTTTTTCATAATCCATGGTGCATTATAGAGTGGCCCAGTTTGTTATTCCTGTATGCAATAGGTCCGTGTGTCTTAAAAGTGACACCTTTGTTTTTCTTGCACGTATTGCGTTAGAAAACTGCAACTTCACACATCAATACTGGACCTAAAATAGTACTTTCTAAAGTACTTTGTGACTTTTCCCCCCAAAGGGGGATCGGCCTACAAGGAGTAAGTTGAAAATCCTAGATAAAAGCATAGGTCATGATGCATATCAAATTAAAGGGATTTATTAGTAGAATGCGTTACCACAAACTGCACTTTAAAAGGACAAGTGGGTCAAAAGTTATACCATTTTATAGTTTTGATTATTTATTTATTTATTTATTAATCAACAGTTAACACCATTTCATCTCATTGCATAACATATAACAAACAAAGCGGAACTTAATAACTAGGATGATACATAACCAACAATAATATTAACAAGCAAAACAATGATCAACAAGAATAAAAGTATAACAAACTCAACAATAATTGAGTATAAAAGATGTAAATAAATCTGGAATTTCATAAATGGATTGGTTTAAAGTGATAACGTTTATAAATTCTATCTAAACTAAATGCATCAACATTTTAATAAATATGAAAGCAAACAAGTGGTCGAAGTGGTTTTTATCTCATTTTATAGCAAATGTAATCGTGAACAAAACATGTGATATAAACAATTGCGTAAATGTGTTCTTTTGGGTGATATTAAGCCATTTTCAATGAATAGTTCAATTCCTCTAAAGGAAACAAAGATGGCGGGTCTGAAAATCGGGCACCCTCCCACAAATTGTTTGTATTTAGGGTATGGAAGAAATGTGCAAAAGCTGCACCTTTAATCCATCAGGTCACGATCCTTGCTGATATTGTCTCTAAGCCACCACACTAAATAGAGAAGATGTTACTATGGTAAGACCTAGACCAGGGCTAATTTACTTTTACTTTTCCTCCTACATATAGTAGATATATGGAGAAAGTATACAGTTTTTTTTCAAAATTGTCGAGTTTGAGTTTTGAGTAGGCCTACATATATCTGTTTTGGGTACCCCTAAACCTAAAAATGTGGTTTTCAAAGTGATGTCTGTCTGTGTGTGTGTCTATCCACCTGTCTGTACATGTGTGGAAGAGTACAGAGCTACATACCTCGACTGTAGTCCAATTTTGATAAAATTTTGCATGGTACCTCTAGAAGTATTTTTATTTTTTTTTTTTATTTAGATTTTTAATGGAGATTTTCTCATGATAGACAGGTAGATTTAGCCCAAAAAAACTCCAAGATAGAGCAAATTCTAGTAAAGGGGTTTTGAACAGTTTTTTGTAGTAACAAGTGTAGTAAGTGATAGAAAAAAAGTTAAAAAATCGGATAACCGGAAGTCAGTGTTATATCAGTTAGTGTTGTGCTGTAGGAGTGATGACTGTGTAGCAAATAAGGACCCTGTAGTGTTGAACACGTTAGTGACCAAACATCCGTGTGAAAAAGGCTTTGGGCAGTTCACCCCATAAATAGATTTTAATCACAGAGAGGAGTGTTTTACACACTTTTGGAAGAATTGAAAGCAGACAATGCTTTATTTATTCTAAGACCTGTTACAGGTATTTAGAGATACCGAGTCCCATTTAACTCAATAGAGCTTGAGTCTCACCGCGACAGTCGGAGTGCATAAAACCGTTCTCATTATTACACCGTTCTCGCCATTATCATTTTCTTGTCATAATCACCTAAGGTCACGAAAACATAATCGTCTTCCGTGATCAAAGTAAAATCCCCAGTACCACCCGTGGTAACAGAAACGTCACCGTCTCTCGCGATAGGGGTGAAATCCTGAACATCTCCCACGGTCTCGGTAGTGTTATCATCGTCACCCGCCATTGCGGAAAAATCCTGGATATCTTCCGCATTCAGGTAAATCATCATTGTCTTCCGCGGCCACAGAAATGTTAATCCACCATCGAGGCAAAATGCTAAATATCTCCAACGGTCATGTGGTCATCATCATCGTCTTCTGCGGTCACGGAAATGTCATCATCGTCATCCGAAATCTCTACAAAATCTTGGATATCTCCCATGGTTTGCAGACATTTTTGTCGTCTCCCATAATATTCCACGATCACAATAAAATTCTGGACATCTCCTGCGGTCATGTACACATCACCATGGTTTACCGCCATTGCGGAAACGTTATTAGCGTCATGCAAAGTCGCGGCTGAAGCATGAATTTTTTGATCGCACAAACTTCACAGACGCGATATACGATCGTGATCGTAAAAGTTAAACTCAAGCTGGAATTTTCGACTTTGTGCTCGATCTCTCCAGCTTGTAGGCTTGGCTCAAGAAATCGCTCACACACCTTTAGTTCTTGCACAATCAAGAATTGTGGAGAAAATTACAAAAAGTATAGGTGGACTACTGGTCTCGAAATTTCGGGAAATTTAAAATCTCGTTTCACGAGACAGATTTGATTTTGACCAAGATTTTTTCGAGACAGGATAACAAAAACTACCCCACCGCAGCAAACCAGCCGACTAAGCAATTTTCCATTTGTCTGAAATAATTTTTAATTAAATCTATTTAAAAAACATTTGGTTTAATGAGTACTTACGTTTGTTGTTCAAAGGTTTATTGCGGACATTTTCCATCACGAATGTAAAAAAACAATACACAACGTTTCGGGATCTGGAATCTGATCCCGTCTTCAGGTGAAAAAAACTTAACTAACACATTACAACTAACAATACACAAACGCCCAACCTAAGTTGGAATACACTACAGAGGGTAGTAGTCAAAAAATATGCACTGTATAGCAGTCAAGTCATGATACAACATGCAATTAATAACACATCACTATAATCTATAAAAGGTTTAACGTAAAAAACTCACACAATAGAACACTAATAGCACCATACGCAATGACTCCACCAATGAGTGCTATTAGTGTTCTATTGTGTGAGTTTTTTACGTTAAATCTTTTATAGATTATAGTGATTTGTTATTAATTGCATGTTGTATCATGACTTGACTGCTATACAGTGCATATTTTTTGACTACTACCCTCTGTAGTGTATTCCAACTTAGGTTGGGCGTTTGTGTATTGTTAGTTGTAATGTGTTAGTTAAGTTTTTTTCACCTGAAGACGGGATCAGATTCCAGATCCCGAAACGTTGTGTATTGTTTTTTTACATTCGTGATGGAAAATGTCCGCAATAAACCTTTGAACAACATTAACTCACCATCACCAACAATGAACTTCAAACAAAGTACTTAGGTTTGCTGTTACAAGGAAACTAATGAAGTGTATTTTTTAGTAAAATATTAATAGCTTAGTATGAAATAAATAAATTTGCCAAGTTTGATAACAATATATCAATTGCAATATATATGAGAGAATAATTCATTGCAACTTAATTCATGTGTCCGGAGCACTGAAGATAACAGATTGCAGATTAAGTTAAATAGCTAGTCCCAATGGTATAAGTCACACCCTTATTATCCGTAACAAAGCCCTTACTTTCCATACGTTTTTTACTATCGAAAAATATTAAAATAAGTTAAATAAATCCTGAAAAGTTACAAAATATAAATTAGGCCCTTGGTCATTTTATGTATTTATGCCTACAATATTTATTCCCCTACAGTACTTAAATTATACCAATTAATGTCATTGTTATGACATTTATTTACATTTGTTTATCCTACAGTGAAAACAACAACAAGTAGGCTAGGCCTAGGCCTATTTTAAACCATTTGTATTTTTAATACAGTTTAGTATTGGAAAGAGATTGTAAGTTATGCAGGCTACTAAGCATACTTTACAATAGGCCTAAGCCTATTATCAAAGACTTAAAATTTATTTAGCATTTATCACATATTTTCCATCACACTAAGTGGGAATGCCACTAAATCCCTGGACCTTTCTCAACAGTTTATGTACAAATTAGAATAGCCTATTCAAGAAAGTATTCATATAAAAAATATGTATAAAAAGAGTACCTAATACTAACCTGCAAGACTCTCGTAAACATTCTGGATTAAGGCATTTGAAAATATTGGTTTCTGGAGGGAGAATGATCGCAAAATCACAAAAAGGACAGACTTCAAGGCCTTCAATGTCAGCAGCTCGGACCTCATCAAATTGAATGCGCTGCAGGAGCCGTGAGAACATGGTTGCATCCACCAGGGTCTAAAACAATGCAATTATAACATTGCTGAAGTGATGATTGAACACCTTGTAGCCTAAGGTCAGATTACCCAACAAATAATACGCTTATTGATTTTCAATCTTAGACAAAGATTATTTACCCATTGCTTCATGAATAAGACCATCCACACCCTTGAGATTAAGTGTTTGTTTAGCAAATTTCAAATTTCCCATTTAGGGAATACATCAAGAAACCAGTGATAACCAATTGTTGTAACAGATGAGTTAAATGTTACATGAAGATTTCACTTCCATTGTAATTCATGAAGAAGCAAGAAAGGAAGCTAATTTGAAAAGATTGAAATTTTAATTTGTGATTTAACTTAACAGTACTGGTATAAATTGGTCCCGGGGCCAGGTCTTACCATGAGTACTACGGTAATAGCTTATTCCCTATAGGGAAATTCGCTAAAAAAGAAATTTCAGTTTAATTGGTACTAAATAGTTAAACCACTATGAAATTAAGCTAAAATACACGCAAGTTCTCAAACACGGAAAACAGATTTAATCGTAATGTCGTAATAAACCAAAACCATTAATTAATACAGTCATCAACCATCGTAACTTTCATAATTAATTCGTAGATTTAAAATTAAATGTTCGTCGTTGAACTGTCCAACTTATGTATACAAATATGATGACATAGACTAAGTTTTTATCTAGGCCTAATAGTTTGAACCAACGCATTGTAGGCCTACTAGTAAATAGTTGCCTAATTCTAAAATGTGTTGAATTTTTTAGCAATAATGTTACATGTTTTAAAACCATTTTTAGATTGTATACGTAATAACACCACTAGTAAAAAATAGGAGAATATATAATATTCATATAATAAAACGTGACAGGGTTATTTTAATTCACGATTCTTAATAAACAAATTGACGGATTTTCCTGATTTGAGTGTTGGGTTTCCTTTATATTGCTTTCACAATCGATATAAACTATACCAAGCCATTGCTCGGTTCACCGTTCCCCGGTACTGAGCTACTCAATAGACAATCGCTTTGTTTTTGGATAAGATCAAGTAATTTTAGCTATGGCCACCATTCATAAGAATTGTAACAAACAAGAACGCCTGGGTCCATTTAGAACCAGCCTGGAGAAAAACTCCAGACTTTTAAAAAGTAGGCCTACTGAAAGACGTAAAATTAATATTAATTCAACAAAATTAAGAAGATGACCCGGGTTCTACACTAATGGCCTACGATAAAAGACATTTGCAAGTTGTATTTATGCATACTAATTTTTAATGCAATCCATGAATACATTAGGCCTACCACTTTATAATGTATTGATAAATTTTATTTAAATTCAATAGCTCTATTTAAAAATACATTACCACTACAATGTAATTCTGTAATGACGTTTAGCGTGTAATTTTTATTATGATTTATGATTCAAGGTTACAAGCCCAATATATAAAATACAAACTCAATAATTTTATTTGTAGAAATTCACAAAATGGTATTTATTCGAATAAAAGAAACAAATGGCGGACTATGAAAATATATATTTCATAGCATGTAATAGATCCAAATTAAATGTGCATTTTTATCTTTTGTATACCAATAAGCTACTATTTAAGTAAGAAACCCACGTATAAAACATACTCCCTTATATTAGTACATTTCTCATCCTTATCAGCTGAAGACAGTTTTATTGTTAGTTCTGTCCGGTGCACTGTCTTTAGAGGTCATGTTTAATTGTTTCTTGTTTTCAGTAATTTAAAACCTCGTTTAACCAAATAAAACGTTTTAATCACGACTAATAACACGTCCCCTAGTTATATAACCAAACAGTAAAGAACAAATCATGAAGTTAAATATAAAATAAAAGAAACACTATTTTGTCGACACTAGCGATCAGTGTCACCGGACATGAACTAGACACGAAAAACGAGCTTCAAAGTTTACAATGGGTTGTAAAGTTGGTTTACTTGTGTTGGTTAGTCTATGGTAAGACTATAATGCATTTTCCACCCTAATAATCATAAGAATAATGTTAAACATACTTCTAAATATATTTATTTTATCGACTACGTTGCTCTTACTCCTAATTAATCGTAGGATACGACATTATGGTACCGATACGATATAGGTACTACACTTTCGGCAACACTGGCCAAAAATATTCGTGCTTGGCTCCCATTGGACGGACCGCGAGGCTTCTGATTGGGAGTTAGCGAGTTCCGCCGAGGGACCGAGTTAGCGACTTCCATACGAGGACGGAATTCGTTAACCTGGCTCTAGAGCGGGTTAGCGGGTTCCGCATCTAGCCAATTCCGAAACCAAACAAGTTAGCGAGTTCCTCTCATCAACCAAATTTGAAGATAGGGCGTTTAACATGGGATTAGCGAGTTCCAGAGTTAGCCAATTCCGCGGACCCGACTTCCTATCAGACTTTGATAAGGTTTGTTGACTGTTTCATTTAGTGTCGGTTCATTTAATTTCACTTTAGGATCCATGGGAGTTCTAATTGGTTTACAATCAGTCATATAAAACTTCTTTAAGACATCATCAATGTATTTTGATTGATTTGCTATCAATTTCCTTCTTTTTGTTCAAATTTTATTCCTAAGCAATGGTTCAACTTACCCAGATCTCACATTTCAAATGACTTCATCAGTTTGTTTCTTAATTTTTTAAATAATTCTTCATTCTTAGATGCAATGATCAGGTCATCAACGTATACTGCTATTATTTCATCTTTTGATTCAGATACGAAAAAACATGGACAGCAAGTGAAGCCTTGAAACCCAAGTCTTTTAATTTAGCATCCAGTTTGAAAAACCATTGTCTTCCGGCTTGTTTAAGACCATATAGTGCCTTGTTGAGATGACATATTTGTTGATCTTCTTGAATTTTGTGTAAGTCAGTTAACATTTTCTTTGCTTGCAGTTTTACTTCGTTGTTTTCTTTGTTATCATGTATTATTTCTTTGAGGTAGCTCTTCAAATTTGGTGGTACAACTTTCATGTAAATATTTTCTTTTATATCGCCATTTAGGAAAGCAGTAGATACATCCAATTGAATCAATGTCATATCTCTCTCCACTGCAATACTAAGCAGTAGATGTACTGAACTCAATTTTACTACAGGAGCAAATGTTTCTTCGTAATCAATATGAGGTCGTTGAGAAAATCCTCGTGCTACAAGACGAGCCTTTTTTCTTTCTAATGAGCCATCTGCATTGAACTTTTCTTTCAGGACTAGTTTGGAATCTACAACATTTATATCTTTCTTTTTGTTAGTTATGTCCCAAGTTTTATTTTTCAGGTGAGATATTATCTCTTCTTTAATAGCTTCATGCCAATATGAGGGGTAATTTTTTGTTTCAGAGCTATCTTCATCTGGATTTTCAAGAGCAGAATAATATGATGCATAATCATCAAGCCATTTGGGAGGATTTGTGTCACGATGAGGACGGGAAGTCCCAGATGTAGATACATTAGTGCTCGAATCATCTTTGTGATTCTCGTTGTAGGTCTCAATTGTATCTTCATTTGTCTCATTATGAATATCTTTATTTTCAGGTATCTCATTTTGGACATCTCCGTTTGAAAGATCATCTTGGTGTAGAGCTTCTTGCTGCTTTTCATTTGTTTTCTTGAAACTCACTGTTTTGTATTCAAGTTTTTGTGGGGAAACTTTTGTGTTCTCTGTCGAGTCATCGTTTTCTTCTTGATTTATTAAATCATAATCAAAATGTACATTTAAATTAAGAAATTTACAAAAAATTTTGACATCTCGACTTTCAATTACATTTCGAAAATCAGGAACCCATATTCTGTATGCTTTGGAGATTTCTGAATATCCAACAAAAATTCCCTGTATAGCTCGAGGAGCAAATTTACTTTTAGTTTGTTTCTTGTTCAGAACAAGGGCTTTACTTCCAAATACATGAAGATGATTTACAGATGGTAATCTTCCAACCCACATTTCAAAAGGTGTTTTGTGATCGATTGCTCTTGATGGACATCGATTCCGCAAGTAGTTTGCTGTGTTCAATGCTTCAGTCCAGAACATTGGAGCAAGTTTCAACTCTGACATGAGACATCTTGATTTGTTAAGTAGTATCCTGTTAAGTCTTTCGGCAATACCGTTTTGCTCTGGTGTAGAAGGAGCTGAAAGTCGTCTTTGAATGCCATTGTCTTGTAGATATTTCTTAAATGCATCGCTACAGTATTCACCACCATTGTCCGTTTGTAGAAACATAATCTTCTTGTCTTTGAAGTTTTCCATTTCATTTTTGTATATTTTGAAATATTTTAGAACTTCATTCTTGTGTTTGAGGAAATACATTTTACTATGACAGGATTTCTCGTCAGTAAAAGTTACAAAGTATTTAGAACCACCTAGCGATGTGACTTTCATTGGTCCACAAACATCAGAGTGTACTATTTCCAAATAATCTAATTCCTTTAAATCATTTCGTACTGGGAAAGGCAATTTTGTCATTTTTGACTGAATACATACTTCACAATCACCGAGTTTTTCATTTGGATTGAAGTCAAGTCCCTTAATCGTTCCATTTTTAAGAGCATGTTTTAAATCGCTTTCATTTATGTGTCCAAGTTTTAAATGCCACTCATTAATTTTACAGCTGTTTGTAACAAGATTGGCATTTTCAAAATCATCAAATTCAACATAGTAAAGACCATTTATTTTGGTTGCTTGCAAATACTCTTCATTTTTAGAGTTTCTAATTACAGCTTTATTTTGATCAAAGGTTACACTACATCCTTTTTCAGTGATTTTGTTTACAGATAGAAGGTTTGTTGTTAGATTTGGGACATGCAGTGTGACTAGGATGTTAACAACTGAACCATCCTTAGTAAGTTTTACAAGTCCCTTACCTTCATTTGATGTAGTATGATTTTTTGATGCAAGTTTGAGTGTGTTATTAGAAGTTTTTGAAAGTTCAACAAAGTCTTCCCTATTTTTACACATATGAGAAGTACTACCAGAGCCAAGACACCAAAT